AGTATATTTCCTTCGTACTTAGTTAATTTCCATGCATATTTTTCTTTTTGTTATTTTATGACCATTTCGAGTACATTCTAATTTCGTGAGTATAATTGCAAATTTTAAGGAGACTAGCAGAGCGGGATCTTTAGGAAGCACTTGGACTTGGAGGATGACGATGATTTTGGGCTTGATGGATATAGAAGTGATGCATGGAGTGAGCTTTGTCAATTACTTGAAGGCTTGGAAGAAATGAACTTTAAATTTGCAAGATGTGGGAGAATTTTCGAGTGTGCGGAGATAGATAATCGGGCGATTACGGAAGCTATTGATCATTTAGAAAGGCTAATTGGGCTCAAATTGAGAAAATATTGAATAAAAAGGGGCTAGAAACTGATCGGGCTGAAACTGGGACCAATGGTTAAGCTGTGGAGTCCCAACACTTGAAGAAGGGAAAAAACTTTGTCACTGTTACGCGGGCCACGTAAGCTACCCATGCGGTCCGCATGGGTTTTTGTTGGGGCATTTTAGGAATTTCACTTAAATCTCTATATTGGGAAGGTTGGTGTGCCACTTTAGCATTCTCTTGAACATCCAAATTTTGAACAATCCTCTAGAGATTTTGGAGCTTTTGGAAGGCCAAGAACCCTCAACAACTTCATCATTATTTCCGTTAATCTTGTTGAATGTTTGGTACAATCTCTTCTAACTTTGTTTTCATGTGTTTAGCCATGTTAGGCTAAACCAAAAATTCGGTGATTTTGGTGAAATCTTTTGTCTAGTTGTTGAATGTTGAAGATTTCATAAACTTGTTATTGAATCTTTATGGAATGTTTTGTATTTTAACATATTATCACAATAATTATATGTTTTTATCCATGAGTTTAAACGTATTTGTGGTGATTACTTGGCTAATTTCTTGATTAATTAGGAAGTAACATGTGATTTGTGTGTTAGTTTTGTTTCACACAATCATAAAACATTTCCTCAAACATGGTTGTGAATGCATTTGACTCCTCATGGATTTGGTGACTTTTTGGTTCTAAATGCTAGTTGATTTTCACTAATTACATTATTAACGGAAATTGTGATTTTGACTAAGAAAATTGTTATAAGTTTCTCTTACTATTTTAATAACTAAGAAAAGTCTAAGTAATCTAAAGCTTCTTGGATTAATATAGCCAAATTAAGGATTTAAAACAAGTATTGCATCATTGGATTCTAATGATATATTCATCAAATAGTCAAAGTAAGGAAACCTTTAGTCAACCTCGTTCCCTTATTGATTTTACATCAAATTCTTGTTTTTGTTGAAATTGTCTATTTATATCTTAGATTAATCCTAATTTATTTCAAGCATTTCAAAATACCACCCCCTATTTTTTGTTTATTGTTATTTTACAATTATTTTTATGAAGAGGTTTTCATAGAGTTATAAAATTGAACCAATCTCTGTGGATACGATCCCTTTACCACTATACACTAATTTAGTGTACAAGATTTAGGGTTATTAAATTTTGTTGGCCTCGATAACCACCAGTAATTCCATACTTAAAATAGTTTTGAAAGCAACCAAGCCCATGGTTGGTAGTGTGTGTGTGAGAGAGAGAGGGAGAGAGAGAGAGAGAGAGAGAGATTTTAGTTAATGTTTATACTGAGTCTTATAACTGAGGTATGTGACTGAGTGTACCCCCGTACAACGCTTCATTGGACTTTTGTAGTCACAATCGTAGACACGTATCACCAGATTCGATTGATCGGTTGAAGTTGTAGCTATAAACTGCAGGTAGGGATGTCAAACCCGTATTAATCTATATATATATGTATCTTGCTCCGAAGATTAATGGTTAAAATAGTGTGGGTATGATAAGTGTTTAGACTCAGCTACTTAATAAATTTTCACTAAAAAGTCTTTAACTTAAAAGTTTGTGAATAGCTCTCAGCCCTAACTTAATTGTGATTAAGTCACTAAGCATAATGAATTTCAATGTATGATGTTTATAAAAGCCGAGTATGCTTGGTATGTATGTAAAGATGTAATGTACTCGCTTTTGTAAAGATGTATGTTTCAAAGTGATGAACAGATGTATATGTATAAACTTTATATATTTAAACATTTGAATATGTATGAATAGTAATAGCTTGAATCCTTAAATACTAAAATGTTTTATAACGTGCTTGCTATAAATACACAATGTCATATAAAAATCATATATTTTTGTATCATGTAGCAATTGCATTGTGGAATAGTTATTTTATGATAAAATAACCATAATATGTATACAAAAAGTTTATACTAGTTTATTTGCAACAATATAGTAAATTGTTAAATAGTAACATTTTTATAAACTAAGATTATTATATTTTTGCGTAAAAAGGTAATCGGTTTGTATAAACAAAATATATAGGCACATGTATTCCCACCCCCTCCCCTTTCCGAAATAACTGAAATATTAAAATCGGGCCGTAAGCATTCACCATTGAATCGTTAGTTCAAGTTGTTCGGATTAGAATTCTTTGAGAAACTGTTCATGTGAAACCGCAAATCCATAATTCTTGAATTTTGAAATATTCCCAGGACCGTTTTGTAACGAATTCAAACTATTGGCGGCTATTAGGTAATTTAATTAACCGAAATAGGACTGATTTGGTTAGAATAAATCAAGAGAGAGATTGATTTTGTAACTTGAACAAACTATAGGGGCTGGTATGTAACTTCTTGAATAGAGGGGACTGTTTTGGTTAGTATTTACTAAAGAATGGGTTGTTTTTTAGTAAATGGAATCAATATTTGGGGATTGGGACAGATTTGGAAATAATGTTTTAATAATGGGGGTAGTTTGGTCCTTTCACAAGCTAAAACGAAATTAGGGCTTTTGAGCCCCCGTTTATTTCTTTAATCGGGCAAAGGAAATGGAAAGCTATGAAAGCAGAGGGATGGCGATTGAAAGGATCAAGAGGCTCGCAGGCGACATTCGCCGATCGAATGGCGAGGGGAGGTCGTCGTCTCCGGGGCAGGCGAGGATTAAGACACGAAGCTTCACTCTCCTTATCCGGCTGCGAGGTGAGAGTCCGGGCGTCGCAAGCAGAAGTAGCACCGGAGCAGGCGTGGTTTCAGAGATCGATCGCGAGAAGGATTGATGTCTCCGGGGTTCGACGGGCCGAAGGGGAGAAGTAGCGAAGCTGATTCGGTCTCGGTGGGTGCAGTGCAGACATGACCTTCGGAATTTTGGTGCCAACGGGAAACATAAGATAAGGAGAGTGAGGGGAAAGGGGTGATTGAGTGGTGTTTGCGAAAGGGAAATGAAGGCAGATCGGTGGTGGGTGGGGGGTTTTTCGACCGGAGGAGGTGTGGGGTGCCATGGGGAAAATGATTCAGCAATAGTACCACAGATAGTAAGGCTTGGCAGTGAAGGTCGACGGGAAAGGGGGATGGACGGGATAGCCGATCTTCGGTGCCTCGCTTCCACTGTTTGCTCGATAATAACAGGTTTGTTTTTTTTTGTTTTTTTTTTTTTTTGGAGTCTTTGACAATAGCCGATAGAACCTAAGTGGGTGTTTGGGTTTAATTTTTGACAAAAATCGATGGGTTTAATCAATAGATTTAGGTGGGTGTTTTGTTGGTTGGTATTGGCAGCAAGAAGATGAAGAAAGGTGGTCTTTGGTTTGCTTATTCGACAAAACAATAGGGAAGGACAATGGAGGCTTGAAGTCCATTTGTTTTGACTGATTTCACACGCACAACACCTCCAATGGAGTTGTTCTTGACTGGAACGAAGGAGAAGGAGAAAGAAAATCGGATGTTGTTATTTGGTGATTCATTGACAGTTTTACAAGGAAACACACCTTTCCTTTATGTGTGATTTAGTGTTTCTTTTGACAGTTTTACAAGGAAACACACCTTTCAATATATATATATATATATATATATATATATATATATATATATATATATATATATATATATATATAGTGTTGTCGAAGTGCTATAATTTTCCTACATACGTACAAAATGATTAAAATTCTGTTGCTTATCTGACACAAATATATAATATATTTTATGAAAAACGATAGCAAATTATTATAATCATTCATATCTTATGTTCGATGCACGAATTTAGAAATATAGACAATTCCATCGTTAAAACCCACGTCAACCGGATTTGGATTTATATATATTATTGAGGAATACATTACCAATAATGGAAATCTTGTCGAAATAAATATTTTAAGGTTTCGGTATTTATAAATCTTAAAACGTCTGATTTTTCGATTTTTATAAATATTTTTACTAAAAATATTTCAAACATGAAGTCAAATATTAAACTATCACCTGAGTCCAAAAACGTTCTCGAAATTTTCATCTGAGGTGTGCGGTTCTTCAATGGTTTGAAACGGTTTTGTAAATTTTTAAGAAAATCAGTATTATTGTAGGTTTGGATTCTTAAAACGGTCGTATCTTTTGCATATGAACTCCGTTTTGGACGTTGTTTATATTTTCAGAAACAAAGAAACATTTACTACGAGACTAGAATGTTTTATTTCCTCACAACTGCTTGATACAAAATTCTGGTTTGTCAGGCGCATTGCTATGGTTGCAGTTTGAGCTGTTTTATTTATTTCATATAAGATGCACTAAAACTCGATGAATAAAATTACAAAGAGATTTCCTGTGAACTTGAATGTTCACAGTCTTTGACCTAAATTTTGGGATGCCACATTTATTGTCAAATAGTATGTTCACTTCAATAGTGTTATGACATAGATCCAATTAGGTTGCATGTATCGTTAAGAATTTAAGGTATTTTCTGCATTATTACATGTAAAACCCATCACAAATTACGATGGCAAAAACCGACCTAATCGCCAACCCAACCCGAACCCAACCCAAAATTAGTGGGTAGGGTTGAGATTTTCATCGCATTTAACTTCAACGTTTTTGACAGTTTTTAAGAAAATCAGTATTATACTAGTTTTAGATTCTTAAAACGGTCGTATCTATTGCATATGAACTCCATTTTGGATGTTCTTTATATTTTCGGAAACAGGGTAACGTGGACAACGACACTAGAATGTTTGATTTGCTCACAACTACTTAATACGAAATTTTAGTTTTTCAGATGCATTGATATGGTTGTAGTTTGAGTTTTTGATTTATATCATATAAGATGCACTAAAACTCAATGAATTAAAATTACAAAAAGATTTACTGTGAATTTGACCGTTCACAGTCTTTGACCTAAATTTCGGGATGTCACATTTATTGATCGATAGTATGTTACTTCAATAGAATTATGACATAGATCAAATTAGCTTGCATGTATCGTTAAGAGTTTAAGGTGTTTCCTGCATTATTACATGTAAAACCCATCATGAACGACGCTCGCAAAAATCGACCCAACCCGCCAACCCAACCCAAAATTAGCGGGTTGGGTTGATATTTTCAACCCATTTAACTTAAATGGATCAACCCGTCTAATCCATTCAATTAAATAGGTTGGGTTGGGTAAAAAATCAACCCGTTTTCAACACGTCAACCTGTTTATCTTTCATATATATATATATATATATATATATATATATATATATATATATATATATATATATATATATATATATAATATTTAAATATATAATGTATTAACCAAAGTATTAATTTGTAAATTATAATGTTGCGTTATTATTATCTATGTATAATAAAATTCGATCCTAATTTTCACCCATTTTTTAGTGCCAATAATACTGGTCACTCTCTAAAATCACTGTAATTCTAAGATAATATCCTCTATTCTTAAAACGAATATAAGTCATATTTTACGAATTGGTTGTACATCGATTTACTCCAACGCATCTCGTATCTTAGTGATATAAAGTGTAATTCCATGTGAGTAAATTTGTATTATTATATAGTTGAAGTTTATTCGTTCCTTTGCCTTAATAGGGAAAATAATATCTTTGGGCCGCTCAGTGTTTTGATGTTGATATTATAATGTTGGGCCCATCCATGACTAAATTGATGGGTTCGATTGGTAGTCTTATGTCGTCATCACAAAACGAGACTATAGAGAAACTGAATCATGGACAATACATTGATTCTAATCCATTTCTTATGTTCATACGATATCGGAAGGAACGAAGGAATAGGTGATCACTTATCTTAGGACCTACATAGTCTAATAGTGTCTAGAAAACACTCTTTACTGGTTATTCGGGGTTGTACGAGAAATTATGGTTAGCTACCTATCCATGTAGGAGACTGTTGGATTAATGTGTCTAGGGTACTAACTAAATTGGTATAATGTTGGAGAATATAAGTAAGGGCTTTTTTGGGTTGCTCTGATAACTAAGAAATTGTCTAGATTGGTTTTTAAGTGAGATTAATGATTTATAAATATATTAAATGGCTAATATATTAATTAGAAATAGTCCTAATTAATTTAGATTTAATCAAATTTAATTTTGAATTAATTATGGGTTAACTAAAATTTATTAAAAGTTAAAGGACTATAGTTGTAATTGTTCAAAATCTTAGGAGAGGACAAGTTCTAGAACCCTACTATGTGGGAAGGTTTGGTGGCTCCTTTGGAGTCTTCTAGAAGCCTTCATAAAGATAATTAAGGGACTAGATAATTACCATATTTGAAATAATATTATTTTATGTTCATCCTAGGGTTTCTAGGTATTTCCTAATCAAGTATAAATAAAGCCTTATAGCTTGGAATTTTCGACTAATGCTATCAGATACACATAAATGAAAATTACTTCCTTTCTCCAAAATCTTCTAGGGTTCGTATGTCATAGGTGTAAAGCATTAGAGGCTTGCACACGATTGTAGCTACTTTTCAATAGATTGATGGATTGATCAACAGGTTTCTTTACAATAACAAATCAGAGGTATGTTATTATCCATGAGAAGTTCGATTTCAATTAGGGTTTAGAATTTTATTGTCACACCCCCAGCCGAGGAGGTGGAACACATCTAGTTGTGCGACTAACTCATGGATCACATATAAATTGAATATATATAACAAAAGTACAACAATAAAAAAAATACCATTTACATTCCATCGTGATGTTTGAATACAAGGTTTTTACATATAATAATAGTACATGAATTTCCTTAACTGATAGGCATATAATACACAACAAGTAAACTATGACATCCGTAATCCAATCCGTCTTGAATGTATGTTTAGTAATTTCCTAATAATACATGTAATTTTAAGGGTCAACACAAGGTTCGTGAGTGCTCAAAGTTTTCTGCTAACAGCCTTAATACTTTTAATAAGTCTAAAATGTATGTATAGCAATAGTTAAAACAGTGTTTGCAAAGAGTCCCTAAAAACCAAAACTTATTTATGTATAAGTAAATCCATAGTTTAAACCATGTTTGTAATGATCTCTAAAAGCCAAAATGTATCTTTTGTATAAGTAAATCCATACTTTAAACTTTTTTTGTAATGAACCTTTGAATATCCTGGAAAACCAAACTATTATGTTACATAAGTAGTTGATAGTTTATTTTATTTAATTCTTTTTATAGTTTATTTTAGTATATTTCCTTCGTAACTTAGTTAATTTCCATGCATATTTTTCTTTTTGTTATTTTATGACCATTTCGAGTACATTCTAATTTCGTGAGTATAATTGCAAATTTTAAGGAGACTAGCAGAGCGGGATCTTTGGGAAGCACTTGGACTTGGAGGATGACGATGATTTTGGGCTTGATGGCTATAGAAGTGATGCATCGAGTGAGCTTGTCAATTACTTGAAGGCTTGGAAGAAATGAACTGTAAATTTGCAAGATGTGGGAGAATTTTCGAGTGTGCGGAGATAGATAATCGAGCGATTACGGAAGCTATTGATCATTTAGAGAAGGCTAATTGGGCTCAAATTGAGAAAATCTTGAATAAAAATGGGCTAGAAACTGATCGGGCTGAAACTGGGCCAATGGTTAAGCTGTGGAGGCCCTACACTTGAAGAAGGGCAAAAACTCTGACACTGTTACGCGGGCCACGTAAGCTACCCATGCGGTCCGCTTGGGTTTTTGTTGGGGCATTTTAGGAATTTTACTTAAAGCTCTATATTGGGAAGTTTGGTGTGCCACTTTAGCATTCTCTTGAACATCCAAATTTTGAACAATCCTCTAGAGATTTTGGAGCTTTTGGAAGGCCAAGAACCCTCAACAACTTCATCATTATTGCCCTTAATCTCGTTGAATGTTTGGTACAATCTCTTCTAAATTTATTTTCATGTGTTTAGCCATGTTAGGCTAAACCAAAAATTGGTTGATTTTGGTGAAATCTTTTGTCTAGTTGTTGAATGTTGAAGATTTCATAAACTTGTTATTGAATCTTTATGGAATGTTTTGTATTTTAACATATTATCACTAATTATATGTTTTTATTCATGAGTTTAAACGTATTTATGGTGATTAGTTGGCTAATTTCTTGATTAATTAGCAAGTAACATGTGATTTGTGTGTTAGTTTTGTTTCACACAATCATAAAAATATTTCCTCAAACATGGTTGTGAATGCATTTGACTCCTCATGGATTTGGTGACTTTTTGGTTCTAAATGCTAGTTGATTTTCACTAATTGCATTATTAACGGAAATTGTGATTTTGACTAAGAAAATTGTTATAAGTTTCTCTAACTATTTTAATAACTAAGAAAAGTCTAAGTAATCTAAAGCTTCTTGGATTAATATAGCCAAATTAAGGATTTAA